ACAACTGAAACCGGGTCATTAAAGTCTGAAATAGCCATTTTACACATCAAATCTCTGCTAAACTATTGTCTTCCGTATGACAAAGAAATTTCTTCCATCTGGATTTGCATTCGAGTCAAAGCACGCCGCAGGTTGGGGACTCCCAGTGAGAAGGGTCATTTCGAATGCGCTGTACTTGTGTAAAACACATGAAGGGGTCGTACTTTTTCTCTGAGGAGGGGGTTGTATATGGTCGTTGGGAGAGAGAGGAGTCGTAATTGGTCGCTGGGAGAGAGGGGGTCCTATGAGCCTTTGAGAGGAATTTGTCGCGTTGGTTCCCGTGTTGACATTTGCGTGATTTTTCGTGTGTGTGTAGTGTGTGTATGTGTATGTGTGTATGTGTGTATGTGTGTATGTGTGTGTATGTGTGTGTGTGTGTGCGTGGTGTGTGTGTGTACCTACACCACCACCACCTCACACATCACGATGCTGTACCCTGATCCCAGTCCGCACCCCCTCACACTCCCGCACTATGACCGTTTTCGGAGATGGTTTTGGTAGATAGACCCGGGAAGTGGAAGCAATTTCAGGCAGGTGGAAGCATTAGGACGGGTGGGCGGAGGTTGGGGGGGGGAGGGAGGAGGGAAGGGAATCTCTACGATAGATAGGATGGGGGATGAGAAATGGTGGTTCTGACTAGAAATGGAACTTCAAAGCGTGGAGGGGGTCGTAATTCACAAAAATTTCTCCAAACGGTCCAGAACTCCCGTAGTTCGATAAACCGAGCTCGGTAGTAGTCTGTTGGGCCTACAGAGTGGCTCTTGCAAAAATAGAGTCGGCGTTGAAAAATTCTGGAGCACAACACTTTCTTACCTCCTATGGTGGAGAAGAATAATTCCTCCCCAGTCACGAACCCCTATTTCCCAAAAGTGTTCACAAACCCCTTAGTTTTACTGAAAAGTCAACTAAACGGAGGTGAAAAAGTGGACTTGAAGCAGTTGAGGGTCTCACTGAGGGCAGTGGGGCAACGAGGAACATTCAGTACTGAAACTCCGCCTTTCCTCAGAACCACGGCGTGTGTCCTGCTTGGAGCACAGGAACTACAACAGAAGCAAAATAATCCACATTTACTACCCTACTTCAGGACCTTCTATGGCGAAGATGCACAAAACGAGCTTCGAACAACCTCGGAACGTTGGGGGGGGGGCATCCACGGGTAGAATGAAATACCATTCTCTAAATTGGCTGGGCAGTCCCGGAACCTCTTTTGATCAGGCGCCTCGGAACTCCTTCCCATCAGGTTTAGACAGGCACCCTATTCCTAGGGAATAAGGCCCCAGTCGGGGTATTTAGATCCTGCAGTAGAGGAGAACTTCTGCAAAAAAAACACCCTTCCTAAAAAATGCTTTACTGGCCCATTTTTACCACATTCCACGAAATCTTTCCGAGAATATCTCCACTTTTTCTCCAAAGAAAAACCGATTTCGACAGCGCAGTTGGAGCAGGAAAAGCCTAGAATACGATTTCCTCCTCTAACGACCAAGTACAACTCCATCCCCGGGTGTCAGGATAATCGTGATTCGCCGCGTTGGTGGGATTCGAGTGCGACGTCGCGCACATAAATGACCACGTTTCTAGGTCGGAGATGACGACAGCAGCTAATGTTCTACCGAAAATTGCTATAAATGTCCACAATGTCGCAGCTTACACAAAACCTGGAGCTCCAACCAACAGACTAAATTAAAAAAATGCCGCCGCGCCCACGGCCGCACCAACCTGAGCGACAACATTACGGTTGTTGACCGTTCTTCCCTCCCTCGCAGGAGTCTGCAACGTACTGGCGCGCCGCTGATCCTATTCGGAGGACAACGATTCTCTGAATGTCTCGTCCCAAAGCCGTTACTATCGCCAAGATGGCCCAGAAACTCATCTAGTCACACTGAAACCACACCTCTTCGGCCAAAATATCCGAAATCGTCTCCACTTCATCGGATTCCCGTTGTCGAGTGGTTAGCCGATCGAGTAGGTTCAGATGAAAGACAAGTAACGCATCCAGTACATCCGGTATCAAACGATTCAAATCTGCTTCGAGAAGTATGTTTTCTTGTAGAAGTCGGTTACGGTAACCCTGAAAAATAGTTTTGTAGAGAAAGGGCGATTCTTTCATTGCCTCCTTGATTGAATTTCTAGCCACACGTGGAATTACGAATTACTTAAACACAAAAACTCGAAAGGGGCCAGTCTGCGCAAGAACAAAACATGAGCGAAATTACCTGTTGTAAAAACGCAAGATGAGCACAATGGGACTTCTCGATCAATATCAACTCTGAAAAATCAATAATTCAAATGGACTTTGTGATGATGTTTTGCGTTCAATGCGACACTTGAGATTTGGAGAACAGGCTTGACATTCGACGTCAACAATCGAAAACTCTACGATTTGAGCGATCGAAGTGCAATCGACCGTTCAAAAACCAGTGAAAAAGCAAACTAAATCACTAAATATCACAAAAATGTTCGGCAAAAGGGCGTACCGAAGATGGCGTCCTGCTTCTTCACCACTTTTGAGCTCAATTTTTCATGTCGGTACTTATCATGCCATGAAGTATACTCATCCTTCGAGAACAGATCAAATCGAGCCCATAACGGCGAATTCCTTGAAAAAAATTAGGCTAACTACAAGGTCCTATCGATCAAATAGGGTATCTCAAAAAAATCGAAAAAAATTGCCTTGGTAAGGAAGCTTTTCGCAGAAGCCAGGGTGCATTCACAAGAGAAACAGAGGTCTCCTCTGGGAAGAACATGTCCACACAGACACTTCACTGGACTCTGCTAGGGTTCGCTTTTGTTGAGAAACGGGGTTTAAGAAGGAAAGTACGTCTGTGTCTGTCACAATCACCCATAACAGCAGTCAAGGCAATAGAGAAGAAACTGGATTCTCTATTTTTTCAATCGATCAGGTGATTTTTACAACTCCGACTCCCATCCCAGGTGCAGAGTTTTTCATTGAAATCATCACGCCAAACTCAATTCTTCATTGGAGCCCTGCTTTTTCAGCCAGTATAAAATCCGACGCAGTTCGACGACGGAGGGGCATTCTGCACTTCTGCTGCTTCGCCAGTTCCACTTTACCAGTCTCACTCTGGTTGGACCTGTGAGCTCTTGTGAAACTGCAGCAAGCTTGTCAAGCCACTATGCTAATGGCATTTGTATATTCTGTCCATTTAATTGTTTAACAAGAGATGACAGGTGGTCTCTATAAACTTTAGGTGGTATAATTTGTGACTTCACAAGATTTCGCAGGTCTTCATTTGATGTTTCGACGCGT